AGTTGACGCAGGTATTGTACACAGGTAAGTTGGGAAACTAGGGATCGAGCCCTGGGATCTGTCTCAGCTACCACGAATTGGTGAATACCGTTTCATTGCTATGAAATTTGGTTTTATGTCTGTGGCATATGAACTGTTGGATGCTAAGTACCAGGAAAAGATCCTGAAGGAGAACCTGTCCACGATTCATCGTCGCAGTAGGAAGCATTGTGAAAAATTCTAGAAGTTGCATCACAGATTGTCGGATTATTAATCCCTTGCTCCTCGTTATTTAACCATGAGTTGGAAGTGATTTGCGTTCGACGAACTTATAAAATCAAGACCATCCACTTTCCAGCCTCCTTCAACACAGTTCATGACAGCAGAACAAGTTCATTTGCACACAGCGATCTCAGCATTATCACATCCAACACGGGTCGTAGTGCAGCGAGTATGGGGGATGGTCATCACACAGAGAAACCAGAGACAGGAACTGATTTGTTTATGAAACGCTCGTCACATTAACTGATTGTAAATATTTTTCCGACATATACAGGTGTGAATCAGCTCAAACTCACCATGCCAGATGAAGGAGAGCCTGGCATATCTCGATAGGGCGATACTGGTTGTCCTGCTCGCTGTCCTTGCAACCGCCATTGTTGCCATCGAGATATATGCCCCATTTTACCTCCCATGTCCACTCTGGAAAATTCATCATCATCATCATCATCATCATCATCATCATCGCTAAGGTTCGCATCACAATCATCATCCTTTTCTTTATCATTGTTCTCACCATTGTCCTCACCATGCACCGTCATCGCATGTTGTCACTCATCATTGCTTGACATTGGTCCTCGTCATCATCACCATCACCATCACCATCACCATCGCCATCACCATCACCATCACCATCACCATCACCATCACCTTCACTGTCACCATCACCATCACTACCTCCACCAGCATCACCATCACCATCACCATCACCATCACCATCACCATCACCATTACCATCACTACCTCCACCAGTATCGTCCACCAGCATCACCATCACTACCTCCACCAGCATCATCATCACCATCACTACCTCCACCAGCATCACCATAACCATCACCATTGTGATTTCGCCAGGGATTTGACCTCATGATCTGATTACTAACAACTGTTATGAGGTGTGCGATTCAGCCACTCGCAGTGAAACCACCATCACCATCACCATCACCATCACCATCACCATCACCATCACCATCACCATCACCATCACTACCTCCATCACCATCACCATCACTATCACCATCACCTTCACCGTCACCATCACCATCACCATCATCGCCGGTGTCAGTTGTCAACAGTGCTTCCCATTTCATGTCACCATCATCATTCCTTGCATCATCACACTTGTCACATTCTCACGTTTAGTGTTGGGATCGGTCAGTCATCTGATTCCCATTATCACATAAGTTTTCCTCTTTTGAATTACTGGTGGAATAACTACCACGGGTTGGAGGGAAAAGGGATCAGGGAGAGGGGAACGAGCTCTCTCCAGAAGTCTTAGCAAGTTAGCATGCTAAGGAGAGAGAGACGGGCAAGGTTGCAGCTGCTTGGACTTAGACAGATAATGGGCAGAGCGGGGGTTAATCCTTCCTCAGGGGAAGCAGTCAAAGCCGCACATCTATTTTCAACTAGAAGAGTTCGAGTGTTAGGATTGGATCAAAAGAGATAATGATCAGGACCAGCTTTTTGGACTCCGGCAGAACAAGGGCAGGGAGGGGGTTGAAGGCTTACTGTTAACAGTGTTAAGCAAGTGAGGTCAGGAAGTGTTTGGTACGTTGGTTCTTGTTCCCTTTGCTTTAAAATTTAAATCCAGTTGCATTATTTTTTACTGGAAGATTTCGATTGTCAGGATGGAATCGAAGGGACACTGAAATTGGTTTGCAGCTAGCCAAAGCTGGGTGATGGCCCCAGTACCTCTTTACGGGTAGAACTATGAGGTCCCCGGCCTCGTGATTTTCTTCATCATGGAATAAAAGTTTATAAAACATATTGGTGTTTTAAAAAATTCCCTACCATGTAGTAGCAGATGAACACATTCTTTGGCACAAAACAAAACATAGTTGCAATAAAGCATCTAGACACCAAATATATTAGCAAAGCGTCTAGACAAGGTCTGGCATCAATTCTGCTGGTACTTGTGAGAAAGAAAGAGCGTCCTGCACATCTTCCTGGTTGTCCCACAGTGATACTTACTCAATTTGTATCTGTTACCTATTGGAGCACAACCTGTCATTGGAGAATGGGTGCTTCTGTTCTAGGTGGCTGCCTGCTATGAACTTCTTGTTTGCAAGAGAAGGTGGTCCATTGTATGTGGTTTAAAAGATTAGCACTCACACAGTCTAGCTACTTGGGAGTCAGTGGACTTGCCTGTTCTTCCCATAGCTAGAATTAGGGCAGGCATGAGCACTAGAGTGCAAAAGTGAATCCCCTGAGGCGCATGAGAGAAAGATCAGTACGGTCTATGTACCAATGAGAGAGAGAAAGAGAGAGCACTTTGGACTGGGGACTATGAGTGGTCACTCTCTGATGTGTGCAAGTCCTCCAGGACGCTGTGAGTTTGCAAAAATTGCACTGTGGCTATACAGCATGCAAATAATTGATGGGACCCAATGGAAAAGATGTGTGAAGGGCAAATGTCAGCCAATCCTGCACTGAAGAACATTGATGAAATGCACTTAAGTAAGCTGTATGGAATGTGATGACAGGATGCCTTGTGGAAGTGGTATGAGGCACCGGCAGACTTGCAGAACGGAGCAGTGGACGAGATTGCTTCCCCTAAAAGAACAGTGATACTTTTTGTTTCCCCCCCTCTCAAGAGTCTAAACAGTCCCTCATGGGCCTGAAAATCGGGCAGCACCAGTCCAGTTCCTTTTCCACCAAAGAACAGCGATAACTAGCCAAAACGGAGAGTCTATTTCAAACAACAACCTGACATGTTCCACCTTTTTGGATGAAATCCAAGGCAAATACCCAGCCAGTCCGTGGTGTCTCAGGGCTACAGGCGATTCGCTCAATGGAGTCAATACTGAGGAGCAGGATTAAGGGCAAGCCACACAGCCAAGCCCAACCAAATGCACACTCAGATGCCCACCAACTAACTCAGGTTAGGCCTTACCTGTGAAACCGGCCATGAGGATTAAGGGCAAGTCACACAGCCAAGCCCAACCAAATGCACACTCAGATACCCACCAACTAAATCAGGTTAGGCCTTACCTGTGAAACCGGCCATTTCCTGACTCCTCCACGTACAGTCCCTTAACCAGCTGAACGGGGTTTGCCTAAAACATCATAACACATGGGTCAAAACAGACAACAAGAGGCAAAAGATACCTGGGTGAACGGATCAACAAGACCTGGGTTCGAATTTCAAACTCTGTTTCCCAAAAGAATAACTTCAACCACTGATGCCCTTTCTTGGACAAAGAAAAACAGAAAAGGAAGAGAATAGAGGAGGAAGAGGAGGGGGAGGAGGAGGAGGAGAAGGCAAGAGATGAGAATAAAGTGGAGGAAAAGTTGACGGACAAGTGCTAATTGTCTCTTCACCAAAGGAATGATGTTGAAGATTGCTTCTCGATCCCAGAGAAACAAAATGAAGAAAAGGAATGCATTGATCATTGAAAAAGGAAGAGAAAAAGGAGGAAGAGGCGAAGGAGAAGATAGAGGAACAGCTGGTTGACAATTCCTAAGTTATGCTCATCAAAGGGACGATGTTGAAGATCCCTGCTCTATCTCAAAGAATCAAAAAGAACGAAGCAAAGAAGTAGAAGAAGAAGGAGACGAAGAAGGATGGGTAGGAGGCAAAGAAGGAGAAGAAGTGTGGCAATATGTAGTAGAGGAGAGGAGATGGACTGACACTCTGCTGGGTTTTCACGGTTGGTGTGAGTAAAGTCGACCACTTTTGTCAGGGGTCAACCTAACTTTAGGTGACAGTCCTAGTCCATCTGTCAATGCATACTGGACAGACTGTTGGGGTCAACCTACTGACAAGTCTGTGAATGTCCGACAAAACAGTCCGTCACAGTCATGCTTTATTTGTTGAGTTGTGTATAGCAAACATGACAACATGCACGTGCGCGCACACACACACACACACACACACACACACACACACGCACACGCACACACACACACACACACACACACACACACACACAAGGGTTGCACCAGTGACAATCTACAACAGGTACACTACCATGCAGGTTCTGGTTGTCCATGCCCTGTCGGAAGGAATGAGCGACTCCTTAGATCCCATTACGACAAAATGGGGAAGTAAGTCATGTGGACATTATATTATCAAAACTCCAACACAAGGTGGAAGCAGCACCAGCACAGCTCAGACTGACTGCTGATCATCCCATACCTCCGTGTTCTTCATCAACCCACAAACAGTTGAAAACTGTGAGCCGTCGTGATCTTCATAAATGATAGCTGCATCCAGCGCTTCCAGGTGAACATGGCCTGGGTAAAAGGTTCATCCAGGGGCGTCATAACTGTTAGTATGACAACCAGGCATTGCCTGGGTAAACGGCATTTTTTGTTGTTGGGGTTGAATGCCATCTAAAAAATGAGAGTGACAGTGAACTGAACTTAAGGTGATATGGCCGTGGATGATGTATGGACCTCCAGGTTCCCAAACCTGTGCACTCACCAACAGGTGCATAATGGATCACGCAGAGAGAGGTAGAGGTAGAGGTACTCAATTTTTTGGGAATATGGGTGACAGAAAAGAGCCCAGTCTAGGAAGTGATACACAACCCCCTCTGCAATACGATAATCAAAACGGATGGGTGCAAAAAGGTATACACCTCTCACCTCCTCATGTGGTCACGAGCTAGCCCTCAACGCCTTAGAATTTTCCAAGTGTCTAGTTTGCAGCCTCCATCTCAGTGCGCCCCTATTTCTTTCATCAACGACGTCTCAGAAAGGCAATGGCCTTTCTACGATCAGACAATCCTTTCAAATGTCATTGTCACTAACCAGGAGGTCGTCTGGAGATGTACGTTACAGTAAAGCTTGCCTGTTTCTTTCATAGTGTTTTTTTCCCCATCTGATTCTGTAAGGATTCGAACTCATGATACTGTTTACTAACAGTTCGTGTGCCCACCATTTGCCCACATGGGCTGATTGTAAAACATGTTATGATCCTGGCTATCTAGAAGTGCAATAACTCAAAGAAAGGCAATGTCATTCAATTGCAACTGAAGTAAAAGAACTTCGAACAAGAAACAGAGAAGGGAAGAAGAAGAAACAAGAATGGAAGAAGAAGAAGAAGAGGTACGCCAGCAAAGACCAATGTGCCAAATCCCTCTCCAACTCTCCACCATCTCCAACCTCCTTGAACCCCCCAAACTTCTTCTTTTCAATAATAATAATAATAGTAATGATAAAAATAATAACAATGAAAGAATGAACCAGAACCAATGTCCAAATCTCCTCCTTACTGCCAGCCCCTCACGAGGTCCACCATAGCCATGTCATACACCTCCTCCCTCTTTGGCTGCTAGGTGGCTATGGCGGACTAGCGGAGCCTTGCTCCAATGTCCAAAGGACAACGCAAAGACAATGTGTCTCTCCTACAATGGCTGCCATGCCCTACGCTATTCTGAAGTCTTACTTGATGAAGCCAACCTCCTTTGGGGCCTTCCAGGTGCAGCAGCAACCAAGAAGATGAAGATGCCGACCGCCATAGCCAGGTAAGCACCCCCGTCACTCTCCTCCTTGCCCACCGTCTTCCTCCTCTTCCTACTCCCCCGAGTCTTCCTTCCTGGTCCGCTCGACCATAGCTCAAGTGGAGGGGTCCAGCCACCTTCTTCCTCCCCAGCACTGGAACACCAAGTGCTTGCTCCAGCAGCGTGACGCCAAACTTGCACACCGCAAAAATGAGGATGAGCTCTTCGCTCCCCCAAAGGTTATACTGGACTGCTGCCTCCTTGGACAGCGTGACGCCAAACTTGCACACCGCAAAAATGAGGAGGAGCTCTTCGCTCCCCCAAAGGTTATACTGGACTGCTGCCTCCTTGGACAGTGTGACGCCAAACTTGCACACCGCAAAAATGAGGAGGAGCTCTTCGCTCCCCCGAAGGTTATACTGGACTGCTGCCTCCTTGAACGGTGACTGCCCGGCCGCTCAGCCTCCCAAGCTACCAGTACCTTCCACCTTTCAGAGGGAAATAGCATTGCAGTCTGGTATCCTTCGCTGCAGGCCTTAGACTCCAACTATTGCACCGGCACCTACGCCTACCAGACTACTAAATTCCCTTCGACCTCTAAAGGTACAAACTTTTTGTCTTCTTCTGCCTACCTACCGGCTACTTGAGTATTTTCCATCCTATGCGGCCTAGCCTACCCACCACATGAGCGTTTTTCATCCTGCGTGGGTCTAGCCTACCTCCCATCTTTCGGAGGGAAATATCATTGCAGTCTGATATCCTTCCCTGCAGGCCTTTGACTCCAACTATTGCACCAGCACCTAAGCCTACCGGACTACTAAATTACCTTCGGCCTCTGAATGTACGAACTTTTTGTCTTCTGCCTACCTACCCGCTACTGAGTATTTTCCATCCTATGCAGACCTAGCCTACCCACTACATGATTGTTTTTCATCCTACGCGGGTCTAGCCTACACTAAGTCCCCGCTGCAACCCACAAGAGCATGGCCACAGGTAAGTACCAGGCCGAGGGCCTCTCTAGCATACAACTACATTGGCGGGTCGCACACACACCCAAGCAATTAAGCATTCAGACAAACACACGGAAACTCAACAAACACGCACACACACACACACACACACACACACACACACACACACACACACACACACACACACATAGAAATCTCAGCAGAAAACCGGAATCTCAGCACGTCACACAATCCAGCGGCAAAACAAAAAAAACAGCAGAGTTCTCAGTCTGTGATTTTGCAGGTCGTTACAAACATGTGCCTCTGGATCTGACAATCATATACTTTTCAATAACCACGATGCTGGCCACGAGCCTTGCACACAAGCATGCATGGCCCCATTCTGGTTTTGATTCTGCTTCCTGGTTCCTGATTCCCAGTTCCTAGTTCCTGGTCGTGGTTATGGTTATGGTTATGGTCCCTGTTCTCGAATTCATTCCGGTTCCGGTTCTCGTTCTCACTCTGGTTTAGACTGTGGTTCTGCGTGCTGATTAATGCTAATATTCCTGGTTCTTGGTCCCTGGTTCTGGTTCTGGTTCTAGTCATGGTTCGGTTCTGGTTCTGGTAATGAATAGGGTTATTGTTGCGGTTATATGACTATGGTTATGGTTATGGTTATGGCTATGGATATGGCTATGGTTATGGCTATAGTTATGGTTATGGTTATGGTTATGCTTATGGTCTCTGGTTAGGGCTGTGGTTATGGTTATGGCCTCTGGTTAGGGCTGTGGTTATGGTTATGGTTATCATAATGGTTATGGCACGCATTCCAGTTCCGGCTCTCACTCTGGTTCAGATGTGGTTCTGGGTTTTGGTTCATCTTTATGTTTCCGGTTCCTGGTTATGGGTATGGGTATTGTTATGGTTATGCCTCCATTTCCTTCTATCTTTCATTTTTTAAGGGTTACGCGGGTTGGAGGGGCAGGATGAGACGCTGTAACGCAGCCAGCCCGGAAGTAGGCTGGCTATCAGGACTCGCCAAATTCTCTTGCCCACACTTCCGCACCCAAACAGCTTCCTCTTTCCTCACTATGGCCAGAATCCCCCACAGCGTACGCGACTGAGGGTTGCTTCCCATTCCCCCGGGTTTCAGGCCTCCTCGAATCCCGCACCACTGATGTGACCGGCATAATAGACAGAGGACTCTTGGAGGGTCTCCTGGGGCCCCCATGATTAATCTTGCTACATTGGTCAGACTGCAGGCCATGGACACTATCTGACCACCCAAAATGGGAACCCCCATTCCGCCTCCATTTCCACAGCGCCTCACAAGCCTGACATGTGTCACAGTCTTAGCTTTCAGGCCAAGTATCGTATGCAATGCCTTATGGTCGCACTCGCTCGCATGCATGAATCTGGATGTGCCAGACGACATTGCAACGACATGAGAGAAGCATGTCTGCACGTAAACAGTGACAGAGAGAAAGAGAGGTGGGTGGGAGGGCGGACAGATGGGCTGGCAGGGACGGGCGGGCGAGCAGATGGGTTGGCGGGAGGGCAACCGGGCAACTGAGTGGCCAGGCAGGCAAGTGGGCGGACTGTCGGACAGAGAGAGATGGACGGGTGGATGGACGGGCGAACCGACAGCTAGCCAGACAGACAGACAGACAGACAGAGGCGGAACAGAGGAGTGAAAGGGTGAGCAGGAGAGGAGTCTCCCTAAGCTCATATTTCTCTGGGTCACCTTGAGGTTCGTGTATGGATTCGTCTTTTTCTTGCAATTGAGTGTCTACTCTCTCCTCCCGTTGTCTGCCGCGCTTTTCGTTGCTTTTGCCTGTCTGCTCAACCTGTTCTCCTCTGTCCTGGCGTGGGCTAGATCCCGCAGGCAGCCGTTTTCCCTTCCTCGGTTTTGCACGTGCTTTCCGTCTCCTTTCAATGGATTTTCGCTCTCCTGCATCAATATCCTGTTCCTCATTGGATTTATCTACCACACCCTCCCCCATTCCCTCTTCCTTGTGCTTCTCCTCATGCTTAAATCGCGTTCTCCTCGGCGTTCTGCGCCTGGGTCCTCCCCCCTGCCCCCCCTTGTCGTCCTCCGCTAAGCCTTCATCTTTCTCCTCCCACTTTCTTGCCGTCTTCCGATTCCTTACTGCATGAGCATCGCTCGTCGCTTTCCCCTTTCGCACCTGTGATTTGGGAGATGGTAAAGATGGCGATTTTGGTGACCTTGGCACCCGATTTCTTGGTGACTTGCTCATCCTCAACTGTAATGCAGGTGCAACCCGCTTCTTCGTCGACCTCTTAGGCGACCTCTGCTTTGGTGATCTGCTCTTGGATGACCTCTCTGGCGACCTGCTCTTCGACGACCGCTTCCGCTTCGGCGACCCACTCTTGGACGACCGCTGTGGTGATCGGCTCTTGGGACGCTTTGCGGTCGTACCAAGTGGTGATTCTGGCTTCCTGCTTGGCCCCTCTGTAATCTTTTCACGTGTCCTCACCTTTAGTTCTCTTGGTCCTTTCTCCTTGGGTGACCGGCTTCTCCCTCTTGAAGGCTCTAGATTCTTGGGTGACCGGCTTCCCCCTCTTGAAGGCTCTAGATTCTTGGGTGACCGGCTTCTCCCTCTTGAAGGCTCTACATTCCTCCCTCCATCTCTGCCTCCATCCGTCCGTTTCTTCCTTCTAGAAGTCACCTTCCTTACACTGCTCTCTTTGTAGACAAAATCCATTGTCAATGAATGTAGGACTCCTTGGCTAACTCGGGCATGGTACAGTCAAACCTTTACAACTTCCTCTCTCTCTCTCTCTCTCTCTCTCTCTCTCTCTCTCTCTCTCTCTCTCTCTCTCTCTCTCTCTCTCTC